ATCTTTTGGGGCCTGGCTGGCAGCATGGCTATCTGGCCCAAACTGGTTTTACAGAGCCCTCTAGCCTGGATACAATGTGGAAAGTAATCCAATTATCCAGGGATAGAAGCAGACTCCATTGAGCACATGTTCCCAGTAAAACACAAAAGGATACAAAAATACATAACTCCTATCATACTGAATTGAGCGGGCCAAATCTCCCAGGGTCCATAGTCACAGGGCAAGAAGCGGGCAAGCAGTCCTCTACAGGCACAAGTGGCGAAGGGCACTTCGTCACACATCTTCCCTTTGGGGGGAAGACTAAACAGGTACCTGACCTTCTGCTGGTCAGTACCTAGATTAGTCGGGCAGCCCACCCACAAAGAAAAATATGCAGAGTAACCCCCCCACAATAAATGGTACTGGCCTGTAGGTTCAAGTTTGTAGTGGGACAGCGCAGCACTCTCGGTCTCTCTGGTGCAGTTAGGCAAACTGCTGGTGTTGCTTGGGGGGCAGAGGCCAGCGGCGCTCTGCCCTGCTGCCAGCTCTTCCACTGGGGTAACCCGTGGTAAGTCAGGCTCTGATACAGGGGAAAAGGGGGGGCAGAGGCTAACAGAGCTCTGCCCAGATGCCAGCTCTTCTGCTGGGAGGGGGTCAGTGGGTATCGCAGGCTCATCCACTGCCCCCAGGACCCGGTTGGGATGTAGCTGGGGAGGGGAAGTTTCGCTTACCTCCTCCTCCTGGCATCCCTGCGGGGTTGGTTGGGGATCTCGACCGCCCGTCCAGCCTCCCTGTAGGACTGGCACAGAGACTGCGGTCCCATCTGCACCAGTGTGGTTAGGTTTGTCTTTCCCCTCTCCTGGTATCTGTGTGGGGGCAGTGTGTGTATGGGTGGGCAATGTATGTGTGTGTGGGGGGCAATGTGTGAATGGGGGACTGTGTGTATGTGTGTGGGGTGGGCAATGTGTGAATGGGGGACTGTGTGTGTGTGTGGGGTGGGCAGTGTATGTGTGTGGGGTGGGCAGTGTATGTTTGTGTGGGCAGTGTATATGTGTATGAGGGCAGTGTGTGTATGGGTGGGCAGTGTATGCGTGTGGGGGGGCAATGTGTGAATGGGGGACTGTGTGTCTGGGGTGGGCAGTGTACGTGTGTGGGGGGGCAATGTGTGTATGGGTGGGCAGTGTATGTGTGTGGGGGCAGTGTGTATGGGTGTGCAGTGTATGTGTGTGTGTACGTGGGCAGTGTGTGTGTGTGGGGGGGCAGTGTGTGTATGGGTGGGCAGTGACATACACTGCAGTGTGGGGGCAGTGTGTGTGTGGTGGGCAGTGTGTGTGGGGGCAGGTGTGTTTGTTTTGTGGGTGGGCAGTGTATGTGTGGGTGGGCAGTGTGTGTATGGGTGGGCAGTGTGTGTGGGGGCAGTGTATGTGTGTTCTTGTGGAGGGGCAGTGTGTGTGTATGGGTGGGCAGCGTGTTTTTGTGGGGGGCAGTGTGTGTGTGTGGGAGGACAGTGTGTGTATTGGGGGCAGTGTGTGTACAGATGGGCAGTGTGTTTTTGTGGGGGCAGTGTGTGTATGGGTGGGCACTGTGTGTGTGGGGGAGCAGTGTGTGTATGGGTGGGCAGTATGTTTTTGTGGGTGGGCAGTGTATGTGTGGGTGGGCAGTGTGTTTTGTGGGGGTCAGTGTGTGTATATGGGTGGCCAGTGTGTGTTTTGTGGGGGGCAGTGTGTGTATGGGTGGGAGTGTATGTGTGGGGGGCAGTGTGTGTGCGTGTGGGCAGTGTATGTGTGCGTGTGGGCAGTGTATGTGTGCGGGTGGGCAGTGTGTGTGTATGGGTGGGCAGTGTGTGTATGGGTGGGCAGTGTATGTGTGTGGGCAGTGTGTGTATGGGTGGGCAGTGTATGTGTGTGGGCAGTGTGTGTATGGGTGGGCAGTGTGTGTATGGGGGGGCAGTGTGTGTATGGGTGGGCAGTGTATGGGTGTGGGCAGTGTGTGTGTGGGGAGTTGGATCAGCGGTCTGGGGGGTGGCCACCAGGATACAGGTGCTACTGGTCACTGGGCTCGCCGGGTGTCTGTCGAGGTATTCATTGGCCCGCTGAGCCGCCTCGGTGAGGGTCTTGGGCTGTTGGTGTCGCACCCAATCTCTTATTTTGTTCGGGAGTCCATTGTGGAAATGTTCCAGCATGAAGAGCTGGGTGATCTCCTCCAGGGACTTGGCCTGTTGGGAATTGAGACAGTTCTGGGTGGCCCTCGTGATGCGGCTTGCCCACTCTGCATGGGAGTCCTGTTACGGTTGCCTCCAGGCTGGCTGGAAGTTGGACCGTAGAAAGGATGCTCCTAGCGCTCACCAAAGGACCTTCAGCGCCATAGACACTATTGTAACGGATCGACGGGCACCCCGACTGGGTACCTCCGTCATTGGATGCTCCTAGCGCTTCCTGAGGGCTCCAAGCACTCCAGCTGACACCATAACCACCGTAGACTCCTTCCGAGAGCAAGACAGGAACAAGCTCTTACAAGAGCTTAAAAGTGATTATCCAAGGGAGCATGCAGAGCATAGCAATCCCTTGTAGTGATATAGCAATACCCCCAATAAGAGACAGGACTCTAGATTGAGGGTGAAAAACACTTTAAATATAAACACAACCAAAAATCACACAAATCCCTCAAGTGGATAAAAAGTTAGATGGAAGTCCTTTATGACCCACAGCAAGCACATTTTCCTGCCCAAAACAGTTCCATAGATTTGGGCTGTGCGGTCGGTCAATTTTATGCAGAAAAATGACTAAGTCCCATTCAAACATGCATTCGAATTGCCGAACGAGACAGTCTCTGCAGCTGAAAATTCAGTGTAGGAGAAGGTAAGGGTCAGCGGTGTTCGTTGAAATGTGTAGCCGATTTCAGTTCCATGAATTTGGCTACACTTACCACTGACCTTGTTCGAATGAACAAAGATGGCCGCTGCCACGTGTTGGTTTGCATGAACAGCGGCCACCCAGCCGTCGGCAATTTACCTACAGCAGGCTTCCAGCCTGGGAGGTAAATTGGCTGCACACTTCCACTTCTGGGTAGTCCGCCTGTGTGGTACTTGGTTCAGTAAGCCCCATTTACTGAACCAAGTGGGAGAAAGCCAGGAACAAGTTATTTTACAGGTCTGGGGACATAGTCTTAAAGGGACATTGTTCACCAAAGTCACAATATGTCCCCAGACGGTTCTTAAAGGGCCATACACACCCAATAAAAGTCCATATGTTTTCAGAGGCACAATCTCCCAGGTGCCATAGTCATGAGGATGGAGGCTGGCAAATAGGCTTCTCCACAACCCAGGGAAGCAGGGCAATTTGTCATTTAAAGGGCCAGTTACAAATGGCAGTTTGGAACATGTCCTTCTCCCCTTTCTTGGTCTCCCTGAACTTTTGGCGATATTGCTCGGGGTTACGGCATACCTGGCCAGGAGGATCTGCTTGATGAATGGGTAGTTCCGGAGTCTTGTACAGCTCGATAGGCTTCCGCTGCTTCCCCCTGATTTGCTGGCCAGGATGGGGACCCAGTCAGTGGGGTCGACTGCTTGCAAGAGGCATTGGCGCTCGAAATCTTGTAGAAAGTCATTAATGCATTTTTCCACCTCCTTGAACTCTTTGAAGGCATTGTACGGTAACTTGTGGGCCAGGGCGTGTGTGCTTCCCGGCGCCCTTCCTTCAATACTTCCCCCATATGGGCTTGTGGGGGTCACCCTACTCCACTTGGCAAGGAAATAGGCTTGCACCTCCGAAAGGGTCCTGCTGATGATCTCCTCGGAGGGTGGCTCTCTGTAATACGCCAGGCGCCGTTCCACCTCCTTGTGTACTTCCTCCTCTTCTCCGGCCCCTGGCTTTTTAATTTCTCAGGTTTAAAAAAAAATAAAAATATATATTACTCATATTAAATTGTGTTCCATATAGAAATATCTGATATGAAATGAAAAAGGTGTGGGTGCACTTAATATGAAAGAGGTATATTATTGTTGAACATAAATATAGTTCAAATATTAGGTTTTGTTTTGGTTCAGAACCTGGACAATTGCCTTTGTCCTTAAGGAGTTAATTGTGAAGCTTGGCGAAACATGTATTTGGGTGTTTTAAAAGATTCCAAAAAAAGGGGTTCTTTGCATTTCATTGTGTCAGTGATTTCACACAACGGAATGGACAGCTTAAGAAAGTATGAGGTACAAGGTTCAGCGTCCAAGGAGTGATCTTGTCAAAATGAAGTGTAACTCATGATACTGAAGTCATACCTAGGTGCTTGTCCCAAATGTAACCTTGGCCATCTGTTGTCACTTTTGTGATTGTTTAAAGGGAATATACACTGCTCAAAAAAAAAAAAAAAAAAGGAACACAAAAAGAACACATCCTAGATCTGAATGAATTAAATATTCTTCTGAAATACTTTGTTGTTTACATAGTTGAATGTGCTGACAACAAAATCACACAAAAATTAAAAAAATGGAAATCAAATTTTTCAACCCATGGAGGTCTGGATTTGGAGTCACACTCAAAATTAAAGTGGAAAAACACACTACAGGCTGATCCAACTTTGATGTAATGTCCTTAAAACAAGTCAAAATGAGGCTCAGTAGTGTGTGCAGCCTCCACGTGCCTGTATGACCTCCCTACAATGCCTGTGCATGCTCCTGATGAGGTGGCGGATGGTCTCTTGAGGGATCTCCTCCCAGACCTGGACTAAAGCATCTGCCAACTCCTGGACAGTCTGTGGTGCAATGTGACATTGGTGGATGGAGCGAGACATGATGTTCCAGATGTGCTCAATTGGATTCAGGTCTGGGGAACGGGCGGGCCAGTCCATAGCATCAATGCCTTCATCTTGCAGGAACTGCTGACACACTCCAGCCACATGAGGTCTAGCATTGTCTTGCATTAGGAGGAACCCAGGGCCAACCGCACCACAAGGGGTCTGAGGATCTCATCTCGGTACCTAATGGCAGTCAGGCTACTTCTGGCGAGCACATGGAGGGCTGTGCGGCCGCACAAGAAATGCCACCCCTGCACTGCCAAACCGGTCATGCTGGAGGATGTTGCAGGCAGCAGAACGTTCTCCACGGCGTCTCCAGACTCTGTCACATGTGCTCAGTGTGAACCTGCTTTTATCTGTGAAGAGTACAGGGCGCCAGTGAAGAATTTGCCAATCTTGGTGTTCTCTGGCATATGCCAAACGTCCTGCATGGATTTGGGCTGTAAGCACAACCTCCACCTGTGGACGTCGGGCCCTCATACCACCCCCATGGAGTCTGTCCGTTTGAGCAGACACATACACATTTGTGGCCTGTTTCTCCTTGCACAAAGGTAGTGGTCCTGCTGCTGGGTTGTTGCCCTCCTACGGCCTCCTCCACGTCTCCTGATGTGATGGCCTGTCTTCTGGTAGAGCCTCCATGCTCTGGACACTACGCTGACAGACACAGCAAACCTTCTTGCCACAGCTCGCATTGATGTGCCATCCTGGATGAGCTGCACTACCTGAGCCACTTGTGTGGGTTGTAGACTTCATCTTATGCTACCACTAGAGTGAAAGCACCACCAGCATTCAAAAGTGACCAAAACATCAGTTCAGGACTTACTTTGCTCTGCCATAAATCCCATGTGATTTGCATTTCTTCATTCCTTGAGTGTTTATGGAATAAGAATAGTAATAAGAACTTTATATTGTTAAAGTCTATTTCTTGTAACAAACTGTCTCTATTTTCCTATTTGTTTCATTTTTAACATTAGGATCCATTTACTTTGAACACACTCACCTGATTGTCATCTATTTAATTAGAATATTTGATGTGAATTACTTCCCTAATACAACTGATAATGATGGATTGTCAAATTGCAATAAAGACAGTAAATATGTTTTTTTTCTTTTTTAAATGTATTTAATCTTTTTTTTTTATTTATTTTTTTTTTATTTACTATTAGGACTTAGAAAAGCAGTTCACAGTATAGGTAAAAAATGCAAGAATACATATCATTTTGCAAATGTTCTTTTATCATTCTTAAAACAAGAACCGGAAAGAAAATGTAAATGTATACAGATTAAAAAACACATTTCTTTATGATGCAAAAAAGTAGATAAATACAGTGAAGTGTTGATAGAACAATTACTGCTTTCCCATTGCAGGATATCTGCCCTTCCTGTTACTGCCAGAACTATTGCCAACTTAGAAACTCATGCAATACCTATTTAGTTTGGGTTTTTAGAGTCCTGTTGATTTCTAGTCCCTTTGTCCTTGAATTTCTGCAGCACAATTCACCTTGTAAATAGTTTAATCAAAAAAGTATTCAAGTACTCAAGTACTCTATTGCTTTCAAAATTATAGCATCTGCAACCAATATATTTTTATTTTATAAGTTTTGAATAAAGAGAGATCCTGCTGTGCACTAAGCTCTGCCTATCAATGTTACTATTAAATCTTATAATCATATATTGTTGCTTGATGTACTGCAGTTAGTGCTGTAGGAGGAGGTAAGCATCAGGTAGATATGTGACAGATGTATCAGGTAGATGGTTAGGTGACATATGTTTTTGCTGATAAGGTGTTTGGGCATGAATCTCATGGAACTGAAATCGGATACAGAAACTCCTGAACATCGCTGGACTTCCATCATCGCCTGCATTTGTTTCTATTCAGCTTAGAAGGGCACTGTTCGGTGAGATCATTCGTCTGGATGAAGGGAACGAGCTCCAGGGTAAGACTATTGACTTTGTATGGTAGAGTGTTCATTTGCAAACTACCAAAATAGACCGGCTGCAGACCCCAATTCTCTAGAACTATTTTGGGCATGGGACCATGCCTGCAGTTGGTCAAAAAAGAGACTTCCAGGAATTTCCTGAACCCCTGCTCTTATCGGGGTGATTTTTGGATATGTTGTTCACCCAGATCAGGCCTATCAGGGGATGTGACTTATGGGGATATGTTGGGGTACTTATAAGACTTTGTAAAAATGTGTGTTTTTCTGCCTGGAGATAATTGGGCTAATACAGTATCTGACTCAATTATCTCACAGGCAGAGTGGAGGTATTGTATGCTTGTTTTGGGAGTGTCGTACATTTAATTGCTGTTTTTATTGGTTTGTTAACTTGTGGCCCTGTGCCCAAAAAGGTCCGCTTGGGTGTCACCCTTGTTGGGAAACTTGCATAAAAGGCCATTGTGGCTCCATTAACATTGAGATTCCTGCTTAACCCTCAACACGTAGCCTTGTCTCATGATTGGAGGGGAACTGCTATATTCACACTGAGGATTGCTATACTCCTTATACCCCCTGGGTTCTAATCACTAGCTCTTGTAAGAGCTGTTCCTGTTACGCTCTCTGGAGTAGGAGAGGTCTTTCCCACATGGTCCTGGATATCCGAGGTTGGTCCAGGTTGGGAGGAAGATGGCAAGATCCCAGCTAAGCTACGGTGGTTTTGGAATCTGCGGTGCTTGCGGTGTCCGGTGTGGTGCTTATGGTCCTCATTGTCAGCTAGGAAGCATCTGTTGGTGGAGGTGTCCAGTCGGGGTGCAAGTTGTTTTATCACAGAGAGTACTGTATAAAATTATGCTTGAGCAATAGCTAAATCCCACTATAGACTTAAGAGCAATGTTTATACCAAACTAACTTCTGTAGGTTATGTGCTATGCTTATAATACTTTTTGAAAACATGTATAGGGATTCTATATACATGAACAATTGGATATCCTCAAACTAAAAACTGTGATGTATGGGCAGTTGGGCTGTGTATGAGTGTGTGAGTGTATGAGTATGTGTTGTGATGTATGGGCATTGGGCAGTTGGGCTGTTGTTGGCTGTGAATGATGCACTTCCTTTCTTTTGGTTCTTTACTTCCTGTTCCTGTTGGCAGTTGGTGGAATGTTCCCAGGGATTTGAAATGGCGGCTGCAGAAACCCTGTGTAACAAGGCTGCAATATGAAGATCCTGTTATATATGTATTAATAAAGTGAGTACTTAGTTATACAGGAATTATTGGCTTATTTATACAAAACATCACAAAAACTAAACTAAAAACACCTTAGATATATTAGCACACTCAATTAATTGCCTCTACCATACCCAATTGAATCCTGCCTCAATACTTTTCCATGACAGATTCCTGCTGAAGTGGCTTTTTGAGTCCTAAAGTACAAACATGATTTTTGTTTTGAAATTTTACTTTGGCACAATAATTTATTTTCAGAGATTTTCAGCCATTTTCAGAGATTTTCATACCACTCCAGCTCAATGAAGTGGTCTCGGTGCCAGGTCCCTCAGGTTTTAACCCTTCAGAGAAACTGCTATGTTTACATTGCAGGGTTAAAACAGCCTCTAGTGGCTGTCTTCCGGACAGCCACTAGAGGTGCATCTGCGACGCTGGAAGCATACTATGCCTCCATTACGCAGAGCATCCATAGGAAAGCATTGAGAAATGCTTTCCTATGGCCACTTTGAATGCGCGCGGCACTGCTGCGCATGCGCATTCGGCTCCGCTGATGTCAGACGGGGTAGCTGACGGCGACAGGGGAGGAGAGGTCACCAGCGCTGAGGGAGCCCAGCGATGGAATAAGGTAAGCTGCTGAAGGGGTTTTAACACTATGTTTTCCTGACATTATAGTGATCCTTTAATACTAATATTAATACAAAAGAGTTAATTGCAGTATATACAAAATTAAATGTCTCTAGGTAGAGACAGAGAATTGAGATTAAGTTATTATAGCGGTCACCCCGGTGAGTAAAGGGGTTTCCACCACCAGAGACATCCTTCCCTCAAGTGTGTCGTGTTACAGTATTTCCAGTAGTCATCCAAGTAGTGAGAGAAGCAGGTATAGCCAGTTCCCTACAAACAAGAGACGAGGCTCTGTGTTGAGGGTAAAGTAGAACTGATTTTAATGGAGCCACAGCTGGCTTTTTATGCAAGTCCCCATGTAAGGGGTTTCTAGTGACATATTCCAGGGGTATTCCCCACTGGACCTGAGAGGGGACAGCAACATACGCACACACATAATTACATTATCTCTCAGGTCCAGGACATGCATAATAAAAATACCCCAAAATACACATTTAACAATGAGGTACCCATGCAAGTTCTATATCCCCGGATAGTCTGGATCTGAGCTGGGTCTGGATCGAAATAACTCAGATCCCATGAATATAGCAGAAACGCCTCCGGGGTATAGTCCAAACACTGTTATCTTCGTATGAAAAGTGTAAAATATAAGTGGGCTTGGAAGTCTCAGCGGTGTTCGCACCATTGAGTGTCCGATTTTAGTTCCATACACTCGATAACCAAACACTGCTGGCTGTGTTTGTATGTCACGTATTCATCCACTTATAGAAATGTGGTTAATGACATTTACTGTCCACACAGGAAAAGTTGTGCCGAGCAGCAACCTAATCCACCGAAGGGTTAATGCTGAGCAGCAATTATGCAAATGAAACCTGGTAACTGACTTTGGGGTCAAAGGCCGGTTACAGCCTATCAGAACTAAAGGAGGGGTATTTAGGCCCAGTTCTCAGCCTGCTCAGTGCCCTGTCGTGGTTTCCCTTGTGGTTGTCCGAGAGCGCGTTCCTGTTTATAGTTTTCTACCTGGTTTTTGACTTTGGCTTTGTTTATTGACTTCTCTATATTCTGGTATCCTGACTCCTGGCTTTCCTCATCGCTGTGTCCCTTTCTGTGTTCCCTGACCTCGGCTAGTATTTTTGACTATTCTTTGTACGTTAAATCCGGCCATTCTAAGGACCGGTAATACGTTACTTATTTGTCATCCGTGCTGTACAGTTCTACGTGCTGGTTCAAACAGTAATCCTGACATTGTATTCCAAATGGTCGCCACCACGTGTTCATATGAACGACGACCACCCAGCCGACCACTAAGAATGTCAAGGTTGTGTGGTTATGGAGGTGTTAATAGAGGTCAATAGGGTTAACAAACGGCACACTCTGCATCTGGGTGGGCGATCTTTCGGTAGTGTCTTCGTTAGTCGAACCAAGCAATGTTAATGTAGCGGACTGTATTGGGCTGTCTATAACTATTTGTGTTATAATGTTATTTTCGTATGATTTTATTTCTGTATATACTGTATTGTATGAAGCATTTGTCTGGCTGTTCGGTAAAACCACTCCGTTCGACATACGAACAAACTACCGAACAACCAGACCACCCCTGAGAGAAGTATGGCTTCAGTTTACCTCCCCAACAATCTTTATTGCCAATTAAGTGTAAAAGATACAAACACACTGCTATATTCCTGGGTGGCCGCCATTTGGCATGCAAACACGTGGCAGCGGCCATCTTAGTATTCGAACGCTTAGCAGTGTTTGGTCGTCAAGTGTCTGGAACCCAAATCAGACACTCGACTACACGAACACTGCTAAGACCTCCAGAGCTCCATAACTGCCGAATGAAACAGACGAAGAGCCCGCCGTTTGGCTAAATGAATCTCTCGAACAAGTGGATTCATACAAACCCCAGCTCAGCGGAGATACAATATTCCCCAGGCTATCTCCGCTTATAATCCAAGTGAGGCTCAGGAACAAGTAAATTGTAAATCCACAGGCAAGGTTTCCAGCAGGCAAAATAACACAGCAGTATCCCACCACCAATCCCAATAACTGGACGACACACAGTTTCAGGAGCAGAACTGACAACCTTTTTTCCACAGCGCCTTATATAGCATGCTCCCATGCAAGGGAGGGATTTTCAACAATTAGTACATTACCCAATCCGGTATTAGTAACCTCCCACACATCTCCTCCCCTCAGCCTGCATCATAATCCCCTTATACTGTACCCAAATTCCCCCAGTTCCTGGATGTACCCCTAAACCTAGGGGTACCCCTTTAAATGGCACATCCCCTGGTAGCCCTGATCTGGGTGAGCAACATATCCAAAAATCACTCAGATCAGACCAGGGGTTCAGGAAATTTATGGAGGTACTAAAAAGACCGACCGCACTGAATAGAACAGCCGAATTGGGTTCCATGTGATGGGGCCCTGCGGTCGGTCACAGTATAAGGGAATAATTTACACGAACGGCTAAGGTTACAGAGATTAGGTAGGATTCACATGAATCCCCTCGTTCGGTTGTTTCTGCCTACCGAACGAGGGGCCGTTCGGTAGTTTGGAACCGAACGGACCGGGCTTGTGGAGCTCTCAGCGGTGTTCGCCTAGTCGAGTGTCCGATTTGGGTTCCAGACACTCGACGGCAAAACACCGCTGTTCGGGAGTTTGTAAAATGGCCGCCACCACGTGTTTGTTTCCCGAATGGCGGCCACCCCGAGACAAAGGACCTACTGCATAGCTCGTCAATTACCTGTTCGCAACATTGTTGCAACGGGTAATTGAAGGCACACTTCACACAGGGGAGGTCTGATTGTTCGGTAGTTTCATTCCCTTAGTTTATTCGAATGATTCTACCGAACAATCAGAGGAATACATTTCTTTTAAACACATATAAAACTAGCAGTTTACACGAATGCAGTTATTCACATGAAATTTGCAGGACAGCCCAGTGACATCCGCTACATCATGTATTTCACCTCACGAATAAAGACCGACTGCAAGGCCAAAATGTATGGAACTGAGTTTGGCTACTGCCTTGTGTGCGGTCTGTCAAATAAACACTTCCACCTAACTCCCGAACCCCTGGTCCAAACTGGGTGATATTGTAATATGTTGTTCACCCAGATCAGGGCTATCAGGGGATACCAAAGGGGTGTATCTGGTATATTTAGGTTACATCCAAAAACAGGGGGAAAGTATGTACTGTATAAGTGGATTATCTGTTAAGCTGAGGGGAGAAGAGGTGTGGGCGGTAACTTATAAATGATTAGTTACTGTACTAATTACTGTGGGTGTCTCCCTTGCATGGGAGAGATGCATAAAAGCAGGGTGTGTGGAATAAAAGATCAGTTCTGCTCTTTTTGGATTGGGAGAGACCACTAAGGGAGGGAAGGGGGTTGAGGAGAAACCACTAAGGGAGAGAGGAGAGACCACTAAGGAAGGGAGGGGGTGGAGGAGAGACCACTAGGGGAGGGGGGTGAGAAGAGACCACTAAGGGTGAAGGGAGAAAAGAGACCACTAAAGAGGCGGGGGGAGAGGAGAGACCACTAAGTAAAGGGAGGGGAGAAGGAGAGACCACTGGGGGGGCAGAGAAAAGCAGAGACCACTAAGGGGGAGAGGGGAGAGGGGAGACCATTAATGGGGTGGGGGAGAGGAGAGACCACTAAGGGGCAGGGGAGAGCTCTCTGGGGGAGAGGAGGGGGAGGAGAGAGCACTAAGGGATGGGGAGCATCAAGGGATGGGGGGAGGTAGGAGAGAGCACTAGGAGACAGGAGGGGAGAGCTCTAAGGGACAGGAGGGGAGAGCACTACAGGAAAGGGGGTAGGGGAGAGCTCTAAGGGACAGGAGGGGAGATCAGTAAGGGACAAGAAGAGAGGCTGAGGAAGGGGGGAAAGAGAAGCACAAAGGGGCTGGTAGTACTCAGTCCCTATCCTACCCCACAAACCCTCTCTTTCACACTACACACACAATGCTTTCCTATACATACACAGAAACACACAATGCATCCCTACACACAAAGAAATGCACCATGCTTCCCTTACACACAGAGAAACATACAATGCATCCATTACACACAAAGACAATGCATCCCTTGCACACATACACACACACACACACACAAACACACACTGCTTCTCTTACACACACACAGAAGCACAATGCATCTCTTACACACAAGTAGACACTGCTTTCTATCCCTTACACAAAAAACACACTGCATCCACTACACACAGACACACTGCATCACCTACACAAACTGGTATCCCTATACACTACATTTCATAAGCCCTTTTTGAGCCCGAGTGCCCAAACTGCAATACATGGCAACTTTTTTTTTACCCGCAAAGTGCCAACAGGGCAATTAAAACCTGAATAATGAGTGTAATGGATCACCTGGCACCCTGACTGGGCACCTCTGTTGACGAATGCTTCTTAGCTGACGCCGAGGACTATAAGCACCGCACCGGACACCACAACCACCGCAGACTCCACAACCGCTGTAGCTTAACTGGAATCTCGCCGTCTTCTTTCCACCCTGGATCAGCCTCTGTCCTCCAGGACCATGTGGCGGAGACCTCTCCTCCAGGAGAGCATAACAGGAACAGCTCTTAAAAGAGCTAAGTGATTAGAGCCCAGGGGAGTATACAAAGTATAGATATCCCCAGTGTGATTATAGCAGACAAGACAAGACTACATGTTGAGGGTCAAACAGGAACAGAAAGTTTAATGGCACACACTGGTCTTTTATACAAGTTTTACAGCAAAGGTGACGCCCAGGTGGACCTAGTTGGGCACTGAATACAAAACATACAAACCAATAAAAACAGAGGTTTACATTCAGACACTCCCATACAGTGTACACAATCCCTCCCCTCTGCCTGTGATATAATTAACAAAGATAATGGACTAACTCAATTAACTCAGAAAAACGCAGAAAAAAATATACATTTTTACAAACCCCCAAAAAGTACCCCAAAATAAAACATATCCCCACAAAAGTCACATCCCCGTTTTTGGTGAACAACATATCCAAAAATCACCTCAGATAAGTTCAGGGGTTAAGTCTTATTTTTGCCCCACCGTGCACATGGTTCCATGCCCAAAACAGTTCCATACACTCAACGACAAAACACTGCTGGACAATTTAAGATGACCGCCACACCACATGCCTGAATCTGTTCCAGTTAAAAGTCCAAGTGCCGGAAACAGTACTTCTGAACATGGGTTATCACAGGGCCCACAGTCCCAGGGTAGAAGGCTGGCAAACAGGCCCCTCCAAAAACCATTGGCGAAGTTGCTTTCGTCACACATCTTCCCTTTCGGGGGGAGACTAACCAGGTACCTGACCTTCTGTCGGTCAGTACCTGAGTTAGTCGAGTAGCCCACCCACAAAAAGCAATGACTGGACCTGGTGACTCCTGCAGGTAGTCAGGCCCTGTGCAAAGACAAAGGAGAGGGCAGAGGCCAGCAGCGCTCTGCCCTGATGCCAGCTCTTCTGCTTTAAGGGAGTCAGTGGATATGGTAGTTCCATCCACTAACCCCAGAGCCCGGCTGGAAATTAGCTGTGCAAGGGAAACATCGCTTACCTCCTCCTGGTATCCCTGCGAGGTTAGTTGGGGATCTGGACAGGCCATCCAGCATCCCTGTAGATCCAGTACAGAGACTGTGGTCCCATCTGCACTGTTGGGGTCAGCTGGGGATAGAGAACGGTTGTCTCCTCTCCCTGAAACTCACACTGCTACTGGGGAGAGAGGCTGATCGCCTCCTCCCCGTGAAACTCACACTACCATTGGGGAGAGAGGCCGGCTGCCTCCTCTCCCTGCAATTTACACTGCCGCTGGGGAGAGAGACCGCTTGTCTCCATTCCCTGTAGGATACGCTGCCGCTGGGGAGAGAGGCCGGTTGCCTCCTCTCCCTGCAGTTTACACTGCTGCTTGGGAGAGAGGCCGGCTACTTCCTCTCCCTGCAGTTTACACTGCCACTGCGGAGAGAGGCCAGGTGCCACAGGGGATCTGGGCCGGCTGCCCAGCATCCCTGTAGGGCCAGTAGAGAGACCTAGTCCCATCTCCACCTGCCATTTCAGGTTCCTCCCAGTGCCAGTCTATGAGCTCCCCCAGGACTTGGGAATAAGGACCACTTGCCTCCTCTCCCAGTAGCTTTGGCTGCCTCTCCCAGTAGCTCCGACTTCCAGCTGCACAGCATCCCTGTGGGGCCAGTGGAGAGACTTCGGTCCCATCTCCACTTGCCTGTTGGGGTTCCTCCCCTCCCTACTTCGGGTACCTCCGGCTGCCTCTGGGGAGAGCGGCTAACCTCCTTTCATTGGAGGCTTCTTTTCCTCACTTTAGCCAGCAGGAACTCTTGGTCCCTCTTCGCTTGTCTTTCGACGGTTACCTGGTTCCAGATCGCCTGGAAGGTATCTACGGACACATCAGGGCCATTCCAAGCCACTTGCTGCTTCACCTCGGCCAGAAAATCTTTGCAAGAGTCAGAGTATGCCATACTTGCCTGCTCCAAGTCAATGGACACCTCTGCTTCCAGGGGCGCTGCACGAATGCTAGCGTTGCCCTCTGTGATGAACTGCCCTTGCAGGGAGAGGAGGCAGCTGGGAGATGCTTCCAATGAAGTACTGCACGAACTGATCCATTCGTGCAATTTATACATTTTGGGAAGGAGAAGATAGATCGGCCGCACAGCCTAACTCTGTTGTTGATATGTTGTTGTTTGGGGTGTTTCTGGACTTTGGGTAAAACTGGATATTTTTTACCTGTGGTATTCAAGTTAGTCCATTGTGTCTGGTAATTATATCACAGGCAGAGGGGAGGGTTTGTGTACATTAGCTGGGAGTGTCTAACTGTACAATACTGTGTTGATTGGCTGTTGTGACTTTGTGTCCTGTGCTCCACAAGGTCCACGTGGGTGGTAACCTTGTGGGGAAAACTGTATATAAGAAATGCCTTTGTGGCTCATTAAACCAGTCCTACTTCACCATCAACTCACAGCCTTGACTCGTGTTTGGAGGGGACAGCTATAATCACTACAGGGATTGCTATACTCTTTATACTCCCTTAGCTTCACTGAGTTTTTATAAGAGCTTGTTCCTGTTCCTGCTTTGCTCTCTGGAAGGAAGAGAGGTTCACCCACTGGAACCTGGGGCCTTGTCTTGGTCCAGGGTGGGTAGGAGACGGCGAGACCCCAACCCAGCAGCGGTGGTTCGGGGGGGTCTGCAGTGCTTATGGTGTCTGGTGCGGTGCTGATGGTCCTTGGTGAGCGCTATTAGCATCCTTTCTAGGGTCCAACCCTCAGCTAGCCTGGGGCAATCGTAACACCCTCACTATGATCAACACATTAACAGTGTCTCCAGGATGCTTCTCCTCGAACTAGGACGCCATCCCGCCGCTGCCACTAAATGTGATGGACCGTCCGCCAATCGATGCTCCTAGTGCTTACCAAGGACCATCTGCACAGCACTGAACATCATAGCCACCGCAGACTCCACAAACCGCCGTAGCTTGGTTGGGGTCTCGCCATCTCCTTCCCACCCTGGTCCAACCTCTGGACCCAGGACCATGTTGGAAGGACCGCTCCTCCAGGAGGGTATAGCTGTGAGAAGTACGTCTCCTCCAGGAGTGTATAGCTGTATAGCTGAAGAGAACTCTTACAAGAGCTAGCAGTGATATAGCTGTTATAGCTGTTCCCTACAACACGAGACGAGGCTGTGAGTTGAGGGTAAGAAGATCTGTTTAATGAGCACAAAGGCATTTCTTTTATACACATTTTCAGGCCAGAGACACACACGCCATAGACCTAATGATACATAGGGACAAAAGAGACACAAACCAATGGGAACAATAATTAACACAGTAACACTCCAACATACAGTCACGAAGCCCTCCCCTCTGCCTGTGATATAATTAAGCTAGCTAATGGAATAACTTAAAGGGACTCTCCAGGCACATAGACCACTTCTGCCCATTGAAGTGGTCTGGGTGCCAACTCCCACTACCCTTAACCTTGCAACTGTAATTATTGCAGTTTTCATAAACTGCAATAATTACCTTTCAGGGTTAACTCTACTAGACAGCCACTAGAGGGCACTTCCTGGTCTATGGCACAGGTTTTTAGAACCTCCAGTGTCGCTAAAATCCCCATAGGAAAGCATTGTAAAGCATTTAACCCCCCATTAACCCCTGTCTTGCCAGTGATCACTATAATCAATGGCTTTTGCACAGCACTAATTTTCTGCTGTTTGTGCATTTTTTTTTTAGGGCTTCATTTTTTGTGATTTTTTTTTTTTTTGAGACCCAAAAGCTCTTTTCAGAACGATTAACCCCTGTCCTGCCTGTGATCACTATACAGATCACAGGCTCTTGCACAGCAGCACTTATTTTGTCATTTTTTTTAGGGGTTATTTTTTTTTTTGTGACAGGTCACTAAGTAAAGTGATTGTGATCATGTCACATGGGTCACGGAAGTCAACAAGCGCTGAGCAGTCATATGCCACCCTTGCGCTAGAGTCTGACGCGTCTATGTCAGACTCTGATGCTGATTTTGACCCAGCCAGGTGCTCAGATACATCATCACTAGATACAGTGTCTGCTGCTAGTGATGTATCTAGTGATGTTGTATCTGTGCCTGCTAGTCCCCCTGTCCGAAGGAGACGTGCTGCTACAGCTGGCAGAACTGCTGAGGAGTGGGTAGTGCCTCATCGCCAGAGACCAGACATCCCATCCTTTACTGCAAATCCTGGCATTAATTTGGATGTCACAGGATTTAGCCCTCAGCAGTTTATGGAGGTGTTTCTGGGCGATGATGTATTGGGGAACATTGTCACCCAAACTAATTTATATCCCCATCAATTCAGAGCTACAAATCCTGACTCTTTTTTGGCAAAGCAGCAATGGGCCCCCATCGATGTGCCAGAATTTAAAAGATTCTGGGCATTGACTATGCTGATGGGCATCATAAAGAAGCCCTCCATCCACTCCTACTGGAGCAGTAGCCCCATCTGCTCTACCCCCATTTACTCCCAATGTATGTCGAGGAAGAGGTATGAAATGATTCTGCATTTCATGCACTTCAGCGACAACAGCCTGTGTCCCTCTAGGGAGCATCCCCAATTTGACAGGCTGTATAAAATCCGCCCCCTGATTACCCACTTCGCTGCCAGGTTTGCAGAGGCTTATACACCTGGAAGGAATATATGCGTGGATGAATCCCTGATGAAGTATAAGGGAAGGCTGGGATTCAAGCAGTATGTTCCTTCCAAGCGCTCTAGGTATGGTGTAAAGATGTATAAGCGAGAATGGGTATATTCAGGCCTTCCGGGTGTACGAGGGAAAGGATAGCCACCTTGACCCTCCAGGTTGCCCAGAACATATGAGAACCAGTGGCAAGATTGTCTGGGACCTGATTTTCCCCCTCATGAACAAAGGGTACCACTTGTGTACTGACAATTTTTATACAAGTGTCCCTTTGTTCAAGCTACTGTACTGTTTTGATACAGTAGCTTGCGGCACAATTAAAATGAACAGCACAGGTTTCCCAGGACAACTTGCACGTACCCGGCTACGAAGGGGGGAGACCTCAGCTCTGCGCCAAGAGGAGCTGTTGGCAGTTAAGTACAGAGACACAGGGTTGATGTTCCAGGAGGGATAAGCCAAATGACAAATGATTTAGGTAAACTAGAAAAATGGTCAGAATTTTGGCAACTGACATTTAATATGGATAAGTGCAAGATAATGCATCTTGGACGTAAAAACCCAAGGGCAGAGTACAGAATATTTGATAGAGTCCTAACCTCAACATATGAGGAAAGGGATTTAGGGGTGATTATTTCTGATGACTTAAAGGTAGGCAGACAATGTAATAGAACAGCAGGAACCGCTAGCAGAATGCTTGGTTGTATAGGGAGAGGTATTAGCAGTAGAAAGAGGGAAGTGCCCATGCCATTGTACAGAACACTGGTGAGACCTCACTTGGAGTATTGTACACAGTACTGGAGACCATATCTTCAGAAGGATATTGATACCTTAGAGAGGGTTCAGAGAAGGGCTACTAAACTGGTTCATGGATTGCGGGATAAAACTTACCAGGAAAGGTTAAAGGATCTCAACATGTATAGCTTGGAGGAAAGACGAGACAGGGGGGATATGATAGAAACATTTAAATATATAAAGGGAATCAACACAGTAAAGGAGGAGACTATATTTAAAAGAAGAAAAACTACCACAACAAGAGGACATAGTCTTAAATTAGAGGGACAAAGGTTTAAAAATAATATCAGGAAGTATTACTTTACTGAGAGGGTAGTGGATGCATGGAATAGCCTTCCAGCTGAAGTGGTAGAGGTTAACACAGTAAAGGAGTTTAAGCATGTGTGGAATAGGCATAAGGCTATCCTAACTATAAGATAAGACTAGAGACTAATTAAAGTATTTAGAAAATTGGGCAGACTAGATGGGCCGAAAGGTTCTTATCTGCCGTCACATTCTATGTTTCTATGAGACAAGAAGGATGTGTACCTTCTTACCAGCATCCACACTGAGGGGACTGTGGAGGTCCCTGTACGTGGCAGAGCTGAGAGGACAAGGAAGCCAGTGTGCATCAAGGCCTATAACTGGCACATGGGTGGGGTTGATCTGGCAGATCAGCTGCTGCAGCCCTACCTAATTATACGAAAGACAAGGGCCTGGTACAAAAAGGTTGTAATCTACCTAATGCAGATTGCAACCCACAACGCTTTCTTGTTGTCTCAAAAAAGCAAACCCCGGGACGCAACTAAGATTTTTACAGTTTCAGCTCCAGATCATTTCGGGGATTTTGTACCGTGATGCACCTGCTCCCCGGGCGGTGATGGAAGAGAGCAGAGTTGGGGCTACACATTTTATTTTTAAAATCCCCCCTACTGCGGCAAAACAGAATCCCCAAAAAAGATGCAGGGTCTGTTCTAAGAGGGGGCAGAGGAAAGATAGTGTATATTACTGTCCTGATTGCCTGGACTCTGCATTGGCGACTGCTTCAAACGCTACCACACGCTGGTCCATTTTTAATTTATTTTTTAACATTTGCCATTGTTTTTTTTTTGTTTGTTTTTGGGGGGGGGGTTGTTACATTTACCCCGTGCATGGGGGGCATGGGTGTCCTAAGGAGAAGCCCTGCAGAAAACCACCTGGGGTGTGTTCTTGCAATAACCAACAGCAGGCTCTCCTAAATCACAGTCAAAAAGCAGTGTGTGTGAACAGTTACCTCCACACGCGTTCTTCAACTACTGCAGGGTGTCAACTTTTCAAATACATGCACGCTCATGTCAAGAAAATACATTGGGATATCTGATAAGTCCCCCATAAGGAAGATCGGCAAAGAAGATATGTACAATTTGAAAAACGCATATCAGACATTTTGCTTTGCAACCCCCAGTGAACCCGACAAACATATGCATGGGTGGTATCGCTGTACCCGGGAGATGTTGCCGAGCACATATTGGGGTGTCCTTTGGCAGTAACACCTAACAGGAGCTTAGAATTTATGCTCAAAGTAGAATGTGTGAGTGAAAAAGTACATCACAAAAATGTTTGACAGAGACTGGTGGTAGAATTAGTGCATGTAAAGTGTTGAAATGCCACCATATGAAATGCCCTAGGGTGTGTACTTGCCCAAAACATACGGTTTGACGGAGGTGAATTACATTGGCTGGCTTCAGAAATGTTCCAACTGCGACATGGGTGCATGATGGCCAGCTGTGTTTTATGTTTAATCATATTTCACTTTTTTTATTCTAGTAAATCATATGATATGATGAAAATAATGGTATCTTTAGAATGAACATTTAATAGTGAGGAAAACGGTATATAATATGTATGGGTACAGTAAATATGTAAGAGGAAAATTACATCTAAACACAGCCACTGCAGAAAAAGAGCCCTGGTCCTTAACGGTAATACAATTGAAAAATTGCCTGGTCACTTAGGGGTTAAACATCTCTGCTTGTGTCACAGCAATTTGTTTCACCAAGGACTCAGTGCACTCCATCTGTGTTTTGGCCAGGACTTTAGCACACTCTGCCTGGGCCAGCACCAGTTGCTGCAGGGCTGCACTGTTTTCTGCAGCTCTCCTGTTAGCCTCCTGCTGCACAGAGGTGGATTGGATCAGAGCCTTGATGACATCCTCCATGTTGAGCTATAAATGACTTCTACCCTCAGGCTTACGTGGCTGCCTGCAATCTCCACCATATGTAACAAACCACCTCTTTTACAGGTAGGATTGTCACAGATCTTGCAGTAACCACAGCCTTCTAGGGTATAGAAAGTCCAGGACACATTCAGCTCAGTTTTCCTTTTTTTATTTGATAAAAAGCAGGTGCTTTAAATAATAACAAACAAACAAAATCCCTTGCTCTTACTTGAGCTCTTACTAGACAGGAATTACTATCTGTAATTGGGTGGCTTTCCCACTTACCAATTTTCCAAAAAAACAAAAATAGCTTTGCAATAAACACAAGTGTTGTTCACTCTCCTAGCTGGCTTTTTCTCCCTCAGTCTGCAGCAGGCTGATCTCTTCTTTTAAAGGCCTGTCTGCTAATTGACTAGCTACAGATGAGTGCCAATTAGTAAACCCTTAAGTCAGATCCAAATTGTGGTCTGTTACACAGCAACTAGTGCTGTTGGAGCATTGGCCCACCCTGCTCTCCAAATACTCCGCCCCAGGGACCCATACCATGTTTTGCAGAACATCAGCAATGTAGATTGCAAACATTAACATCTCTCCCTGGGGCATTTAACTGAAAATTCTCAGGTTGCTGTTTAGCAAACGGGCCTGATGTATCTTCCATCACCCACAATTCCACTTTTACGCTCACAGAGCCTACAGGCATTGCGCATGAGCGTCCATTAACGTGGCAAAAAAATTCCCAGCTCCGCAGAGGCTGTCCTAGCACCCCAGTCATACAAATACTCGTTAACGGCCTTTTCTTGTTGGAGCAGGCGGTCGAACATTAGGAGTGTTGAGTTCCAACGTGTCGGGCTGTCGCAAATCAAGCGCCTCACTGGCATGTTTTTTCGCTGCTGGATATCTGAAAAGTGCGCCATGGCCGTGTAGGAACTCCTGAAATGACCACACACCTTCCTGGCCTGCTTCAGGACGTCCTGTAAGCCTGGGTACTTATGCACAAAGCGTTGTACGATCAGATTACACACACGTGCCATGCACGGCACATGTATCAACTTGCCCAAATTCAATGCCGCCAACAAATTTCTTCCGTTGTCACAAACCACTTTGCTGATCTCCAGTTGGTGCAGAGCCACGCATTCCATGCTTGGCAGCCGTCAGCAGGTTTACCCAATGCGCAGTGTAGGTGATATACCTGCCCTGACCATGCTTTGCAGACCAGGTATCAGTGGTCAGATGGACCCTTGCCCCAACACTGTGTGCCAGACATGCCATTACTTCCTTTTGCACAATCGAGTACAGGTTGGGGATTGCCTTTTGTGCAAAGAAATTTCGTCCGGGTACCTTCCACTGCGGTGTCCCAATAGCTACAAATTTTTTGAACGCCTCAGACTCCACCAGCTTGTATGGTAAAAGCTGGCGGGCTAAGAGTTCAGTCAAGCCAGCTGTCAGACGCCGGGCAAGGGGGTGACTTTGTGACATTGGCTTCTTACGCTCAAACATGTCCTTGACAGACACCTGACTGTGGGCAGATGAGCAGGAACTGCTCAAGGCGAGAGACGGAGGGGCGGATGGTTGAGAGGGGGCAAGGAGGACAGCAGTGGTTAACGTGGCTGAAGATGCTGGACCAGGAGGAGGATGGCGGCTTTGAGTTTGTGTGCTGCTTGTACTCATGTGTTGATCCCATAGGCGTTTGTGATGTGCGATCATGTGCCTTCGCAAAGCAGTTGTACCTAGGTGGGTGTTGGACTTCCCACGACTCACTTTCTTTTGGCACAGGTTGCAAATGGCATCGCTGTTGTCAGAGGCAGACACACAAAAAAAATGCCACACTGCTGAGCTCTGCAATGACGGCATTCTGGTGGTGGCAACAGCATGCGTTGATTGGCGTGCTGTCTGGCTGACCCCGGGTGCCAATGCATGCTGTCTGACTGTGCCACTAGCTCCTTGCGACGAGCTCCCCCTGCTTCCAACTCGTCTCCTCCTCCTCCTCTCTGTCTCCCCATCTGAACTTTCCCCCTGTTCTTCTTCTCTTCTAGCGGGCACCCACGTGACATCCACGGACGCAGCGTCATCATCAACTGCTTCACTAGTATCTGACAACTCAGCAAAGGAAGCAGCAGTGGGTACAACATCATCATCATCACACCGTACGTCCATGTGTGTAATGTTGCCTGACTGAGACATATCCCTGTTATCTACATCCTCTGGCAATAATGGTTGTGCATCACTCATTTCTTCCAACTGATGTGTAAATAACTCCTCTGACATACCAAGTGAAGCTGCTGTGGTGCTAGTGTTGGTGGTGGCGGCAGGTGGGCGAGTGGTAACTTGAGAGGTGCCCGAAGCTAAGCTGGAGGATGGTGCGTCAAGGTTCCGAGCGGAAGCTGTAGAAGATTGGGTGTCCTGTGTTAGCCAGTCAACTATGTCCTCAGAACTTTTCGAGTTCAGGGTACGTGGCCTCTGAACACTGGGCATTATTCTAGGGCCAAAGGGAATCACAGCACCACGACCACGATGGCCCCTGCGGGGTGGCCTGCCTCTGCCTGTCATTTTTTTTCGATTAGTGGTACTATGCGTGCAAGCTACTGTGACAACAGATATGAGTGGCACTGTGCAGTGGCAGAAGTTGGCAGAGTAGACGCTGTAGGCCTGACACACACGCTTGCAGACAACTAACTGCTATTCAATCTATTACAGTTGAAATTGTATTATTTTTTTTAAATGTACACTACTGTTACACCAGATATGAGTTGCACTGGTGTGACACTGTGCCCTGGCAGGCCCTGAAACACACACGCGTGAAGGAAACTGACTGCTATTATATTACAGTCCAAAAAGTTTTGGTTTTTTTAAATGCAAGCTATTGTGACACCAGTGAGTGAGTGGTGGCACTGGGCAGGCCCTGAAACGCACACTCGTGAAGGAAACTGACTGCTATTATATTACAGTCAAAAAAGTTTTGTTTTTTTTAAATGCAAGCTATTGGGACACCAGTGAGTGAGTGGTGGCACTGGGCAGGCCCTGAAACGCACACTCGTGAAGGAAACTGACTGCTATTATATTACAGTCCAAAAAGTTTTTGTTTTTTTTAAATGCAAGCTATTGGACACCAGTGAGTGAGTGGTGGCACTGGGCAGGCCCTGAAATGCACACTCGTGAAGGAAACTGACTGCTATTATATTACAGTCCAAAAAGTTTTGTTTTTTTTAAAATGCAAGCTATTGGGACACCAGTGAGTGAGTGGTGGCACTGGGCAGGCCCTGAAACGCACACTTGTGAAGGAAACTGACTGTTATTATATTACAGTCCAAAAAGTTTTTGTTAGTTTTTTTAAATGCAAGCTATTGGGACACCAGTGAGTGAGTGGTGGCACTGGGCAAATGTGCATAGTATATGCTGTGAGCCTGACACACAGGCTGGCAGGCAGGTAACTACATTACACAGAAAAAAAAAAGCAGACTGATGTTCTAGCCCTAAAAAGGGCTTTTTGGGGTGCTGTCCTTACAGCAGAGATCAGATGAGTCCTTCAGGACTGTAGTGGACATTGAATACACTAGCCTAGCTATCAATTTCCCTATCAAATCAGCAGCAGCTACACTGTCCCTCCACTCACTAAGAATGCAGCTTCACAATGAATGTAAACATTTTTTGGGGCACTGTCCAGGAGGTGGGAGGGTCTGGGAGGGAGGGTCTGCTGCTGATTGGCTGGAATGTGTCTGCTGACTGTGAGGTACAGGGTCAAAGTTTACTCAATGATGACGAATAGGGGCGGACGAACAGCGCATATGTTCGCCATCTGTGGCGAACGCGAACAAGCGATGTTCGCCAGGAACTATTCGCCAGTGAACCGTTCGGGACATCACTACCTATGAAATGTTTAGTGCGTGTCAAATCATTAACACAAAGTAATCTCAATATTAAGCCCTATATACACCCTTTTTTTATTGATTTCAAATCACCATGTTATTCTCATTCACTCCAAAATTATTATATAAATCCTAAACTCATAACATATTTGAACATATTTCAGACAGTTCTCCCCTTTGTAATAAAGTTTCTATTTATCATATTCTTTAATTTCCTTCTTTCAATTGTTAGCTCCTTTTAAGTTCTTCTGATAATTGATTTTCTTTTTTTTAGTTACTTATTTTTATTAATCCCATCATTTCTAATCTATGAACTTCTTGAGATGGTTCTTTGTAAACAAGTGAGGAGTTATCATATTGTATAAGGGGTGAGAAGGATGATCTTGACAAGGAAATGGATCGTAACCAAGCGTACTATGGGGAGCAGCCCTCTGCAGAGCTCATGACCAAGATTTTCTCTGAGGCACAAACCTACATCTTAGCTCAGAGGGCTTGGGTGAATCCCCCAGCACCACCTGCTCAGCGGGCCGGGGAAGTGTCCCCGTGGAGTTGGGCCATCACAGAACCAAAGCCCAAACTGCCCTACCAGGCTTTCAAGGCATTTTCTGAATCTGTAGAGGGCATCGATGACTTCCTGCAGGACTTTGAATGCCTGCTGCATGAAATTTCCCCAACCGTCTGGATCTCCATTTTGGCTGGGAAGCTCACCGGGAAGGCGATGAATGCTTACCGGGCCTTGCCTGAGGGCGACCTGCGAAACTATGCCACTGTAAAGCAGGTCCTGTTGACGAGGTATGCCATAACCCCAGAGACATACCGCCGAATGTTCTGAGAGCTGAAGGGGTCCCAATACTCATATGAGCAGTGGGCTTGCCGCCTGAACAAGGTAGTCCAAATCTGGATGCGGTACCAGCACACCAAGACGCCAGAAGTCCTCCAGTTGTTCCTGCTGAAGCATTTCTACAATGGGCTCCCCACTGAGGTACAAGACTGGGTAAGAGACCGGAAACCAATACGCTCATTGAAGCAGCCCAGAAAGCCAATGAGTATGCGGATACTCGGTGACCCCAACGCCCCACCTCCCTCCCAAACCAATGACCACCCATCCGCCTGGCTCCCTAGTTTACCCCACCAGTGACAACCCCTCTCAGAGGTCCACTGGCCCTGATCACACCCCAGAGAAACCCCAAACCGCCCAGCAAGTCGGTACCACCAGTGTTCCCAGTGGGGTCACTTCAAGCAGGAGTGCCCTCAGCTGAGGGACCGGTCCCTGTGAATTCATCCAGGACCCCTCGTGCACCTGCACCACGAACTGCTGTCCACTGTTACCAGGCGGCCTCCATGTATGCTCCTAACCCCAATGAAGAAGCCTGGACATCCCTACATGTAGCTAATTCCCTACAAGCAGCTAAAGATAACCAAGATCATCACCGGCAACCAGTCCAGCTGAATGGGCACCCCGCACGGGGTTTACGAGACTCTGAAGCCATGCTGACCCTAGTAGAACACCAGCTGGTCGCAGAAAAGGACAAGACCAGATGATCCATGGCAGTCCGGGTAGCAGTGTACTGTCTGTAATGGACCGCCTGGCACCCCGACTGGGTACCTCCGTTACTGGATGCTCCTAGAGCTTCCAGAAGGATCCAAGCATTCCGCCAGACACCACAACCACCGCAGACCCCATGAACCACCGTAGCTTGGTTGGGGTCTTGCCGTCTCCTACCCACCCTGGACCTACGACAAGGCTCCAGGCTCCAGTGGGTGAACCTCTCCTCCGAGAGAGGGAAACAGGAACAATCTCTTAAAAGAGCTTAGAAGTGATTAGCCAAGGGAGCATGCAGAGCATAGCAATCCCTTGTAGTGGTATAGCTTTTTACCCCCAATAAGAGACAGGACTCTAGATTGAGGGCAAAGAAGAACTGACTCCAATAAGCATTTATTCCTGCTTATATACAACTTTCCCAGCAAGGTAACCACCCATGTGGACCTTGTGGGGCACTGGAACTGTAAATTTAACAACCAATTAAATAAAGGCACATGGATAAGCACACCCACTTTTTACAATGAGAATCCTCCCCTCTGCTTGGGAGATAATGGAGTTAATTACTGTATCAACTCAATTATCTCCAAGCTAAAAAACATACCTTTATGCCATTTTTGTAACTCTGTGAGTTTACATGCAATATCAATAAAACTTATATTTTTATAACCAGTATAATTTGGGAACAAACATATCCAAAATTCACTTTAATCGGTGAAGTGGTTCAGGAGATAGGAGGGACAAAACAGCCAGTTCCAACTAGTTTGGCAGTGTCCCTGGGACAACACCCCGATGGAGAACAATGGGACAGGGGGAGGGGAAGAGGCACACCTTCCCATGGATTCAAAGGGGCAGAAAAGTGTCTAGATTCCAGGACGAGGGATTGAGTGCATTTTCATTACCTATGCGTGGGTAACACATATTCAGACTGTCACAATTGGTTTGCAGCGGCGGGATCATCCCTTTTCCCTGCACTGAGAATCCAAGGAAGGCACTGATGTACAGTCAATGGAAGGCTGGTACACACAGCTTAAGCGCACCACATTAAAGGAACTATTGGGAGTTCGTGGAGGTATTGCCAGCAACAAAGCCAAGCGGGTCATAATTGCCGAACTAATGGAGCTAGACCGGGAGACAGAGAGATTATGGAATGACTGGCACTGTTCGGGCCAAACCCAACTACCAAAATCATCCCGCAGGTGATCTATAATGTGACAGAGCATGCAAACCAAAGGGAACAGCGAAAGCTACAACTGAGGCTGGCTGAAACCCAGCGAGCGGCAGCGATTTCACCGAACGGAGGGAACAGCACAGTTGATTCGCGGAAGATTCCCTTCAGCACATTTAAAAGCTTTAACGAATGAAAAAGAGATTGATGGCTATCTGGCAGATTTTGAGCGCCAGTGTGCCCTACAAAGAGTGGCTGCAGACGAATGGGTATCGATATTATCAGGAAAACTGTCGGGTAAAGCAGCTGATGCCTTCAGGGTTGTACCAGAGCAGGAGATCCACAGCTATGCATGAGTAAAAGAGGCGTTCCTAGCTCAATACGCGGTAACCCCTGAGGCGTACCGCAGAAAATTCAGACACTCCCGCAAAGTGGACAGAGATGCCTATGCAGAGTGGGCCTGCCGCTTACAGCTATCTGCTTCCAATTGGATCACGAGCTGCCAGGCAACCACAGTAGATGACATCCTGCAGCTTATCTTACTGGAACAATTCTACGACCACATCCAATCCAATGTCAAGGATTTAGTAAGGGACCGCAGACCCCTCTCCTTACCTAAGGCAGCCAAACTCGCGGACGAGTACACGGATACCTGCAAGGCAGCACGTACTACATCTCAGGTCCAACCCCTTCGGACTGAGACACCACCACAACCGGCAGTAACCAGGTACCAACCCCCAAGCAGACCAATAACTTCCAACCCACGACGCCGAGCTGGCAACGAGCCCCGCTGTTTTATCTGCAATCAACTGGGGCACCTGTGCAAAAACTGCCCACTGGAAGCCCCCAGGTCCAACTGGACTCGCCCGGGTTCTCCAACCCCTGGGCCGCAGCCCATTGCGTGGACTATCCCGTACCCTCTACTTTGGACAACCAAGGAGTTAAGCCGTGAGGATCCCCTAGGCATGCTATACGAAGCCCACCTGATCCAGTCTACCTTTACTGACAACCAGAAACACCATTGTCAGTTAGTGATGGTCAATGGGAAAACTGCCCGAGGCCATAGGGACAGTAGGGATACCATCACCCTAGTCCAAAGGCACTTGATTTACAATTCGGAATGACCATGGAAATCTATTGCTCTTCGAGTGGCTGGGGGGGCTATTTATCAGATTCCCACTGCCCAGGTCCACCTAGACTGGGGTGCTGGAGCTGGCAATGTCAATGTGGGAGTCATGAAGGAGTTGCCCGCAGGGGTCGTATTGGGCAATGGCATTGGGCCACAAACCTCCGCTGGGGGGGCTATTTATCAGATTCCCACTGCCCAGGTCCACCTAGACTGGGGTGCTGGAGCTGGCAATGTCAATGTGGGAGTCATGAAGGAGTTGCCCGCAGAGGTCGTATTGGGCAATGGCATTGGGCCACAAACCTCCGCACCTATTCACAAGGCTCAAGCCGTGACCACCAGAGCCTAAAGCCATGCTGCCGAGAGCCATCCACCTCCTACAGAGACCCAGGTAAGCCAACCTACCCCACCCCTAACCGTAGAGCCCCTTCCCTGGGATACCCCGGAGGACTTTGGGAGGGAAGTAGTGGGGGACCACTCACTAAGGAAGTACAGGGAAAAGGCTAGGGTAGGCCAAGGGGGGCTAGGAGGGGAACAGTTAGTCTGGGAAAATGGCCGATTGTATAGGCTTACGGAGACCCGGGTCAATGAACCCGGACCCCGGCAAAAACGCCAGCTGGTAATCCCGAGTAAGTACCGGCGGGAGT